ATGAAACGGGCCTGTTCAGCCTGCACAGGCTTTTTTCAAGCCTCTGAGAGGCCGAAAAAGGCCTCAAACCAGCCAAAAATCAATGGCGCAATGCAGGTAAGGGGGGTGGGGGGATTGCATGCGCTGAGGGTGTGGGGGGCGCTCATTGCCTTCTGGGTGCTGGCACGCAAGTGCCAGCGCACACACAGTTTTTGGCACAGGAGCCCAAAAAGGTTAGCCACCAGGGCTATATAGTAATAATAATGAGTGTAAGCATTTAACATGGGCAAGCTGACTCTTCTACTTTAGGCTGTCCTGCCTAGCAATTTTATAAACACCTTTTCCCTCTCTCTCTGTCTCTCTCTCTCTGTCTCTGTCTCTGTCTCTGTCTCTCTTTGTTTGTAACTCACAATAAGGTTTGGATTGTGACATCGACATCCCGAAGACGATCCAGATGGTACGGAGGCAGAGGTCGGGCATGGTGCAAACAGAAGCCCAGTACAAATTTGTCTACATGGCTGTGCAACAGTTCATCGCCATGCAGCAAAAGGAGCTAGAAGAGGAACAGGTGAGGGAACTGCAAACTAACCGAAGGGTAAAGCAACCTGGAATGAAGGATGAACTTCCTAACAGGGAGGACAATTAACCAGCGGAACAGCTTTGCCTTCAGAAATCGCGGGGGGCTCCATCCCTGGAGGGTTTTAAGAAGAGACTGGACTGAAATGGGATAGATTCTCCTGCTTGAGCAGGGGGCTCGACTAGAAGACCTCCAAGGTCCCTTTCAGCTCATTCAGGGTGTGGGTCAGAACAGATATTGTGACGCCTCCGGGGGACATTGCCAATGCCCCTTTGCCCAGCGTCTGTAAACCGCTTAAGAGAGGGCTGTAAAGCAGTATATAAGCCTTAGGTGCTATTGGTGTTGCATGCCACCTTCCTCACTTATCAGCCAGAAGGGCTCAAATCCGGGAAGCCTCCGCTGGCACTTGCACAACAATTACCCAACAACTTCCAACACCAAACTTGAAAATAAGGATTTCATCATAGAGCAGAACAGAAAAGACAACAGAAAAATAGCAGAGCAACGGAAAACAGAGTTGGAAGGGACCTTGGAGGTCTTCTAGTCCAATCCCCTACTCAGGCAGGAAACGCTGATTATGAAAATTATGATATAATTTCAGACAGGTGGCTGTCCAGTCTCTTCTTAAAAACCTCCAGTGCAGAGGTGGTAATTCAGCAGTCGAAGGCTGTTCCTGGGAGAGTTTTTCTCCAGCCCGAAGGTACATTGGGGGCAAAGTTGGAGATAATAAAGGGACTCTTATTGCTTATTTGACTGTGTTGCCTTTGTGCCACGTCCCGGGTCATCACAAATAAGTTGACCACCTCTTCTTCCTGGAAGCCCCTGAGATATTGGAATGTTGCTATCATGAATAATCATAAAACCATTGAAATTCTTCCCTGCTATTTCAGAGATGTCTACGGAAGGACACGGGTTACCTAAATATCCGATACTTGCCGATGGAAAAACCCAGAGCCAAAACTCGCCCTACTTCACCTCGGCTCCAGATAGGGTAAGATCCATTTTTCTCTCCTCCTCCTCCTCCTCCCTCCCTCCCCCTTACCCCCACAGCAATGCCAAGATTACAAGTAGTCCTCTTCTTACGACCAAAATTGGGACTGGACGCCCCATTGCTAAGCGAGAGGGTCGTTAAGCCAGTCATGCCTGATTTTGCAACCTTTCTCGTCAGTGGTTGTTAAGGTCTTGTGTTAAGTGAAGCAGACGGACGCGAAGTGGATCATGTTTTCCACCATTGATTTTTGCTTGTTTCAAAGCTATCTGGGGAGGTCGTGACCCTGATGACAGCTGTAACTTTAACATCCAGTTTGCCAGAACCAGTCCAAACCAGTAGATTCCCTCCCCTGGGAAATATATGCAGTCCTTGACTTTTGACCCACAATTGAGGCCAAAATTCCTGTTGCTAAGGGAGACGTTGGTTAAGGGAGTCTTGCCCCATTTTACACAGGTGTTAAGTAAGTCCTTGCAGGCATTACGTTAGCCACACGGTCATTAAGTGGATCTGGCTTGACTTGGCTTGCCCGAAGGTCGCAAAAGGGGGATTCGTGTGACCCTGCGGCCGTCATATAATATGAATCAGGGGCCAAGCATCTGACTTGATCACAGGACCCTGGGGATGTTGCAATGATCGTAAGTGTGAAAAACGGTCATAAGCCACTTTTTTTCAACACCGTTGCTAACTTCAAATGGACACTAAATGAACGGTTGTAAGCTGACAACTACCTGTACTCCATTTAAGTGCAGATCTGAACCTGCGTGGGGTATGATGGTTACTCATCACACACTCAATAATCTTCATTTAATGGTGGTATCGGAAGTGAGTGGAACCCAAGTTTTTGATCGCGAATATATTTAATTGGAGAATGTGATTGATGACACTCAGCCTGTGAAGGTGCTCAATTGGAGAATCTGATTTATGACACACCCAGGAGGGAGGGAGGGGGGAAACAGGGTCACAGGGGCTGTAAATGACATAGGACAGAGTTGGCTTCATACAGGGCAGGGCCAGTATGTCGCCTCTAATAAAATCCTTTGAAGTTTTTTGAAGTTTGGCTCGAGAATCGTGATTTAATTAGGGCGGTTGCTGGAATCCTGACATTTGGTTGACTAAGCGGGTTGCCCGGTATAAGCCTCAGATTTTGGCATGGGTTCAAAAACTCCAGACATGATATTTTTCCAATTAAAATCGGAATTTCGATTTTTTGGGGAATCGCCCGGGCAGTGCGAGCGGAGCCCGGGCGGTGCGAGCGGCGGGCAGGGCGGGCAGGCGATTTCTTGGCAAGCGGTGGGGGGTCTCTTGGCCGGCCCCGATTTTTTTTTCAGAGGGGAATATCATGCCTGAACTCCCTGCCCTGGCTCGATTTTTGTTTGGGTTGAAGGCCGGTTGCTGATTCTCCTTCCTTTTTATTCCGCAGAGTGGCTGACGAGGAAACGACCTCCGTCTACGAAAACCTGAGTATCAAAACCGCCAAGGTCTCAGGGTACACTAACTCAGGAAGATAGTAGCTATAGAGCAGGATGGCAGGCAGGTGGCTTATAAAATAGGTAGGCAATGTGTCCCAAGGTGTGTTATTTTATGTCTCCTGAGATGACAAGGCCGGTGGATCACACATCAGCAAGCGCTGCTGCACCGTTAGGACCTTCCTCTCCAGAAACCCAGCCCTGTTTGAAAACTCGGTTCCTCCCAGCTACTCCATTTCAGGATGATTTTTCTTGTAGACTTTAAATATCACTGCGCCACGTTGGGATGGGAGGAACGAAAAAAACGGGAAAACTGCACACTTTTCCGTCTTGGCTTTTATGATCAAACTCGTACAAGCTTCCAATATATTGGTTTTTAAAAACAGGGCACGCTCTAAAAGGACACCGGTTTTATTCCCGTCCCAAGGTTTGTATCGTTACCTCCTCCAGGTCTGAGGCAGTTCCCCATGTTTTAATTCCCACCTGGATTTTCCATCCCGAACGCCAGCTTAAGCCTCCGTCTCGTAAGACCAATTGATGGTCTAATTCAGTGGATTTCAACCTGGGCCACTTTTAAGAGAGGGGGGGGTGGACTTTCAACTCCCAGAATTCTCCCACCAACCTGCTGATTGGGGAATTTTTCTGCGTGGGGAATTCTGGGAATCAAAGTTCACCCAACTTAAACAGTTGCCTAGCTGGAAAAACACTGGGTCTAATTTATGCAAAGAGCAAGATAAAATTCCATTTCTTGCTACACGGTATTTATCCACAAGGGTCTCTGGCTCTCTGTAACAGAGGCTACAAATTGGGGGTGTATGTATGTGTGTGTATATATATATATATATATATATATATATATATATATATATATATAGTGAATTAATAAGTGGCTTTGTTTAGAGCAAGCGTGAAGCGTGCGCTCACACAACCAGTTGTTAAACCACTTGTAGCCCACCACTGCAGCTGGGGAATTCTGGGAGTTGAAGTCCACACATACCACCTGGTGAATTCTGGGAATTGAAGTTCACACATGCCACCTGGTGAATTCTGGGAGTTGAAGTCCACATATGCTGGCTGGGGAATTTTGGGAATTGAAGTTCACTAATGTTGTCTGGGGAATTCTGGGAGTTGAAGTTCACTCATGTTGGCTGGGGAATTCTGGGAGTTGAAGTCCACTCGTTCTGAAGTTGTTATGGCTGAGAAATTTAATCCCAGAAGGAGAGTTTGATGCTAAAGAAGCATTGTGACCCCGCACTCCCGCTATTTTGGGGCATGGCCCAGGTATATCAACCCAGGGCCTAGCAAAACGTAGAGACCGAAATACAATTCCCAGCATCCCTCAGCATGAGCTGAGACTGGCGGGACCCCGTAGTTCAGGATTTTCTGCCCTGATCAATCATAATATAAGGTTGCAAATTCTCTTATGCCTGAACATGGCCTCGTCTTTTACAAAAGGCCAGGCAAGAGCTGAAGCGCCCGATTAATACGATACATGTAGTCCTCAATTTACAACGGTTCATTTAGTGGCTGTTCAAAGTTACGGCACTGGAGAAAAAAATGACAATTTTTTCACACTTACGACCATTGTAGTATCCCCCATGGTCACATAATCAAAACCCAACTGACTCATATTTGTGACGGCCGCAGCATTCCTCGGGGGGGGGGCACATGATTCCCCTTTTGCAACCTTTCATTTAACCGCTGCGCCAAGAAAGTCTCGCTTAGTGACAGAAACGTCGAGCTCCATTGGGGCTGTAAGTCGAGGACTTCCCCTGTATGAGCCTCTCTCCCTGCTCCACCAGTATCCCCCTCTGCCCTTTATCTATAATCTCAGTTGCCCCAATATCGTTCCTCCCCCTTTCTGATCTGAACGGGTGGGGGGAGAAATATCACAACGACAACAACTGCACCACGCGTAATTCAGCGGTATAAAACTGAAATGTTTAATAACAATAGAAAATGAAGCGTCCCCTCCTTTCGCCCAAACGAAGCCGGAGGTAGAGACAAAGCATGGAGACTCAGCCCTTTACCCTCTGAACAAAAGGGGAGAGAGTGCAAAGTTTGGCTGGTTGGTTCTCTTGGCCACAGTCACGATTCTCCCTGTGGTGGAGTGTGTTCTTCCATACATGCAAAACGGGGGCGGCCTTCTGCATGGACTTTGGGAGTTGAGCCTCAACAAAGCAGGTTGGCCAACCATTGAGCCACCTAGGGAGGTTGTGGAAGTGGGCACGTGAGTGTTTCAAGTCGACGTGGCCAAGATGGTGGACTCCCAAGTGTTCCCTGGAGTCGCGTCGCACCAGGTCAACGCGATGGCCCGTCAAACCCAACACGATCCTCGAGAACGGGCCAGGGAAGTCCACCCCTGTCTTCCCGATTCCTTCCGGAGGAGAACTAGGACTCTCATGGACTTTCTTCTCTTCCCCCCCTCCACAATGACCAGCGGTCAACCCACATCAGAGCCTCACCCATACGGACACGGACACCATGCACGCAACCCGGGCAATCACGCCACGAACTTGGTGAGGTCCAGCGCGGGAGGCGGGGTGGTGAGGTGATAAGGCACGTAATTCGGCCGCGGGTAGCCCAACTTGTTGAGGCACTTCAAGTTCCCCGTCTTGACGATACACTGGACGGGCCAGAGGATGATGCAGAAGAGGATGATGATGAGGATAGAGAGCAGGACGACGCGTTTCCAGTCGTCGCATATCGAGCAGCGGGAGAGGCGTCCGATGAAGCCCTCGGTGGGGGTCTCGGGGACTTCTGGCTTGCTGGGGGCGATGTCGATGGTGACGCAGGTGTGGCCATTCTCGGGATCGGAGCACTGGCGGCAACACAGCTTGGTGCCTTCCATCCAGAGGGCCTTCTCCTTCTGGAGCTCTGGTGGCAAGGTGGCCATCACCTCTCGGCACGTCTGGAGACCCGGCACGCCTTCAAGCGGGATCTCGGTGAGCTGCCGGCAGAAGGGGCACGGGAGCTGGTCTTCCACGCGGTTGGGCGGCAAGGCGGCCGTCAGCCGGGCCAAACACTCCAAGCAGAAGGTGTGATGGCACTGGAGCACCTTGGGCGTCTTGAAGAGGTTGTCGTAGGTGTTGAAGCAGATGGAGCATTCGATCGGCGAGGTGGGCCGCTCCGTCGGGGAGCCCAGCCTGGTCTTCCCATCGATGGGCGAGCTCAACGGAGACCCCACGGGAGAACAGACGGCGGGCCTGTTTTCCACAGAGGGAGACGTGATGACGATCGGGTTGAGTGGGATGGGTCTCTCGTGGGCGTCCACCGGGATGGGACTTTGGGGAGTCGAAGGGGGAGATTCTGGCACTTCGGTGTGCCAGACCTGGGTTAAGCAGGACATAACGGAACCTGGGGGAAATGAGAAACCAGGGTTAATGTTAAGCCAACATGGAGTCATGCTACATCAGTATTTCTCAGTCAAGCAACTTTTAAGGAGGGTGGACTTCCAACTTCCAGAATTCTGGAAGTTGAAGTCCACCCATCTTTAAAAGTGTCCAACGATGAGAAATACTGGTGTCAGGATTGTGGCAGTTACCCCCAATTAAATCATGAGTCTCGAGCCAAACTTCCAAAGGATTTATTGGGAGTTAACATGTCTGGCACTGCCTGGCTGTAGCCGACCCTGAGACACATCATTCATTGTCACCCTTGACCCTGGTTTTCCCCACCACACCCTCTGGGAGTATCATAATTCATATTCTCCAATGGGACACATCCATAGCCAAGAGTCATCAATCACGTTCTCCAGTTAGGATTTTGCGCTGCAGAAACTTCAGTCACCTCGTTACTATCTTTGAAAAACTATTTATGGAATGCGCTTTCGATTTCCAAGCTGCCGCACTGCTCTTTCAAACCCCTTTCCCCCCCTCCCTTTCCATTGGTAACTCTAAAAAGACCATAGAAATATGTTATGAGTTGACAATTGGTTTATTTCCTAAATCTTTCTAAGACCCTACCCCCTTTTTCTTCCCCAAATCTCCCTTAAACCTTCCATGGGAGTAAAAATCCACACGCCCAGAATAGCAACTCTTGGAAACAAGGAACTCCCAACACTTGAGAACTCCCCTCCCTCCTCAAAAACACCAGGAAAGAGCTGCGTGCAAAGAGGAAAAATAAAATAAAAATAAAATTCACACGTACCCCAGCCGGTGCTTCTCCTAAAATGAGAAGGCAGGAGTGTTGCTGTCTCCATGAAATCCACAAGGGATCTCGGGGTGGTCCCAGGAAGAGACCTTGTTTGCTGGGGGTGGGAGTGGGGTGAGCAGCGTTGGCCAGCCGCACAGAAAGCCTAAGACAAACCAGAATACGAGTCCATTTCAGGGTACGGAGATAGCGGATGCCAGCGTGGCTAAACTTCCATGCAATCTGCCCTTCCCTTTGTTGTGTTTTTAGGATAAGGGTCTTCAAACTTGGCAAGTTTAAGGCTTGTGGACTTCAACTCCCAGAATTCCTGAGTTTTAACATGGACTGGAGGAGGAATTCTGGGAGTTGGAAGTCCCACAAGTCTTAAAGCTGTCAAGTTTGAAAACCCCTGGAATAGAATAGGAATAGAATTTGGAATAGGGATAGAGTTTAGAATAGAATAGAATAGAATAGAATAGAATAGAATAGAACAAGGGTCTTCAAACTTGGCAACTTTAAGACTTAAAGACTTCAACTCCCAGAATTCCTGAGCTAACATGGACTGGAGGAGGAATTCTGGGAGTTGAAGTCCACAAGTCTGAAAGCTGTCAAGTTGGAAGACCCCTGCTTTAGGGGCTGAAGGAAAAAACGAGCTGCCAAAGGGGACGGAGATTCGAGATCTTCCTTAAATGAGGACTAGTTTTTTTAATTCTCCCGTGATTTACATCCCCCTCCAGGCCTGGAAAGAGCATCCCTGGGCCATTCTACAAGAGACATGCCTTCCAAAAATATAAATAAATGTTATTTCCACCGTGGGCTTGCAAGCAAACACTCAGGCCCCCTGCGAAAAACAGTTCCAATGTTTGCAGAGCTTCCTCCTAGCAAATGGCCCAGCTCCCCTATTTTAACTTGGCTTTGTTGATTTTTTCCCCCTCCACTTTTCAAGCATGATCTAGCAAAAAATGACAGAGGGGAATTTCCTGGTTCTCATAATCTCGGCATAATCTCACCTCAGGTCTGTTTTTATCTCATCCTAGTAGGAAGTATTAAATCCCAAGCCAATTGCGCTAACCGCTTGGTTTTTATGTATGACGTGTTTAATTTCTCAGAACTTGGCACCTGTCTAAGGGACGTACGTGCCTGCCCCACGACAAATGCCAGGATAAAAAAAAAAAATCCTTATTT